AGGGAACCCTTCTTAGCCATGTGAGCAATAGGAATTCTGGTTTACGTGACCCCAAATAGAAAGCAACTAGCTTGTTTTCATGCTGTACTTTAAGGTGCCATCACAGGTAGTATTGGATGCATACTAAGCATGAATAAAACTTTCTGAATAGAAACCAGCTAGTGGTGATGGAAATAGATGGAGATATGCTGACACTGGAAACCAGTCATACATCAAGCAGTTTACATGATACTTTGAAATACATTTTAAGGAAGTAAAATTATATCAGTTTTTATTGGGTCTGGGGACAGCTGTTTGATTAAAATCATTACTATTCAAGAATGAATAGGTCATAGCTTATGTGTACAGAGGCGGCACTGGCTTGGCAGGGAAGATTGAGGGACTTGGGCTCACAAGTCAGTGGTAGAATGAAATCTGAAACAGGTTGTGCCTGTACTGATCACTGCTGCAGGTAGCAAATGGAGGATTTTTCTCCCTATGGAGATAATGGGAATACCTGGCGTGTAAATTAATAGGAATGTAAAATGTTGGTTTATTGTCCAGTTGACCTTCCAGCCATTTTTAAAATGGCTAATGGTGGGCCACCAGTACTTTGTCATGCCCAATGCAGCATCCCCATTCCAACTAGAGATGGTTCTGATGCGGCTGCTCTCCTTATCCCTGTGTTCAGTTCCTAGTCCCGACTTCAGTTTCTATCCAGATGAGTATCTGGACGTCTATGTCACAGCTTCTGAACACCCTAACCACTTTTGGATCCAAATCCTTGGCGCCCGAAACATGCAGTTGAAAAAGCTCATCAAAGAGATGAGCCAGTATTATGACAAAAGTCCGGTAAGTTGCCGTAGTGACAAGTGATTTTATTTTCCTGTGGGGGCAACCATGTGCTTCCTGGTATTCCCTGTTTATATATTAGCCTACCATTTCATAACTCTACCACCTCATACTCTTCATTCCTGTGTATAGCTTGAGGACTTGAAAGCAAATGTGGGAGACATCGTAGCAGCAACTTTGCCTCAAACCACTAACTGGTTTCGAGCCAGAGTCGCTGACATTATGGAGAATGGGAACTTGGACCTCTACTTTGTTGACTATGGAGATAATGGAGAATGTTCACTGACGGATATCAGAGCTCTCAGGTCAGTGTGGGGCCAGGGTGTGATTGGCTGGAATAGACTTTGAACTCGGCCCTAGGCATCTAGTAGTGGGCTGTTGGAAGGGCACCTGTTTACATAGAGCAGATCTTCCCACACAGGATTACTTGGTTCTGTCTAAAACCAGGAAATACAGGAAGGCCTTTCTGGCCCTGTGATATCTTTCTTACTCCTTCCCCCTCTCTTCTATTTCTGAGGTAAGAGATAGCTCTTACCTTACAGCAGATATCTGCTGCTTCATTCTCAATGCTTTGGACCAAAAAAGTTGAACCAAAAAGCAGGAGTCTGGTAGTGGATCTGGGTTTCCCACATGGGTGGCAGGGACCCAGCTAGAGTCAGAGCTGGAATCTAGACCAGAGCCAGGACTTGAACCCTGCTTCTTAAGTTGGATGAGGGTGTCCGAAGTGGCAATGGCTTAACTGCTGCACCAAAGCTTGCCCATAGCATTCTAACTTCAGTTTCTTCCACTTTAGGAGTGATTTCCTGAGCCTGCCATTCCAAGCAATAGAGTGCAGTCTGGCAGGGGTCGCCCCAGTAGGTAAGTTGGTCACACTGACTACTGTCTCCAAATGGGACGTCTATACAGCAGGTGGAAGTCTCACGCATTTTAGTTCTGTGGGCTCAGCTGGCTTTTCCTTACCAGCTTTAGAAAGCAGCTGAAACTTGTCTGGAAGGCAGCCTGGCTTCCTGAACAGAAAGGGGGTGGTTCCCTCCAGGGTATAACCCCTTCCCATTCTGAGACGATCCTGCCTCAATCTTTCCCCAGGTGAACAATGGGAGGAGGAGGCTATGGATGAGTTTGACAGACTCTCCTACTGCTGTGAGTGGAAGCCCATGGTGGCCAAGATTTCAAGCTATGTCCAGAGTGGGATGTCAACCTGGCCAGAGATTTACCTTTATGACACTAGTGATGGGAAGGTAAGACTAGGATTCACTCACTACTCACTGTTGTATCTTCTGCTTTCATTGCCTCCTTTGTTTCTCAGAAATGTGTCTGTTTCCTACTGTGTAAGATCCTGGTCACTATCCCACCCAAGAAGTGTCTTAAAGTGTTCTAGTTCTGCCCTGTTTCCTCACGTCTTCCCTTACAGAGAGAATATTCGCTTTTTGTTTCTCTTCTCAGGAAATTGACGTTGGGCTAGAATTGATTCGCAAAGGATATGCAGTTGAGGTTCCTGAATACATGGATGACAACGAGGATGACCCAGACATGTTGAAGGATGGGGTGAGCCAGCCAGTAGGGTCCCTTTAGGGCACATCTTCCAAAAAACATGGGCTGAACAGACAATGCTTCCACTTAGGACCTTGGTTGGCTTTCCTAAGGACTGAGTTGCTCCATTAATGGGTCAAAATGGGCAACATCGCTTTTGCACAATGACAGTGATCTCTCCCACCAGCCAATACATTTTTTAAAAATTACTTATTTGAAAGGCAGAGTTAGGCAGAGAGAGGTCTTCCATCCACTGGTTCACTCCCCAAATGGCAGCAACGGCTGGAGCTGGGTCGATCCCAAGCCAGAGCTTCTTCCAGGTCTCCCACATGGGTGCAGGGGCCCAAGCACTTGGGCCATCTTCTGCTTCCCCAACAGCCAATACATTCTTCCTTCTCTTCACCGCCTCAGGCCGCGGAGACAGACGCCTCTCTCGGGAGCATGCCCACAGAGACCCAGAAGAGCCCTGGAGAGGTGGCACACACTCTCTCCTGCCTCAGCTTATCAGGTACATTTCCTTCCTTATAGCATCTTGCTCAGACTCTCCAATAGCAAGGTTAAGGTTTGGTTCTTAGGTCACTGAGCCCCAAGAGACCCATTTTTCTCTTGGGCCTTACCAGCAGTACCTGCTGGAACATCTAACTTTCTCATTTCTGCCCAACAGAAGCTGCCTCTATGTCTGAGGATAACCTTGAAGAGGACTGCTTGCTCTGAAGTCTGGACTTCAGCTGGCACCACCGTCTGCTTTGCTTTGTGAGTGGAGCTGTCATCTCTAGAAGCAACAACAGCAAGGCCCTTGCCTTTGCTGCAGTGTAACTTGGCTTTCACATTGAGCTCTGTTTTTGTGTCTTTGGCAGGATCTGGTTGTCTGCAGAGGAATTTGTGATAAGAGATCCAGCAGTCTTTCCTGCATTGCACAAGTGTTCTGGCTTGCTGTGGACCACGTTCATTTTCTCCTATTGGACTACCAGAAAGAGTGGGGCAGAGGGGAGACACATCCCCTCCACACTCCGTACTCCGCTCCCTCAGTGAACATGGATGCGTTCTTTCCGGGCTCTTCCATGCCCCTGCCCCTTGTAATGTGTGTTAGCTGCAAGGCTGTGTCCTCGTCCAAGCTGGGAAGCAGCCAGGGTTTGCTCGTTTCAAGTATGATTCTGCAGATGTCCGACACCCCATCAGGTGTCTCTGGTTAGGGGAAGTGTTTGAGTGGCAGACTCAAAGCTGGGAACTCAACTGCAGGAGTCAGGAGGTAAAGGCCACAATCACCTCGATTCCATAAGATAGCGTCAGGAAGTGGGAAAACTGCCTCCCAGCCCCAGCTGATGTTATTACTGACAGGTTTTTGAAATAGTGCTATTTCTCTGTAAAATTTTAGTTGAGTAGGAGAGAGGAAACTCAGGAAAATTTCTAAATTGCTAGTGCAATATCTGTATATATCCAGAGAGAAAGAACCTATCTACTTCTGTTTAAATCATTTTGGGAATCCTTTGCTAAATAAAGTCCTCAAACCTACATGAAACAAGTGTTGACTTAATTAAATGGCGTCAATGTTGCTCTTTATATAAGCAGTCTTGTAAGGGAAGAGAAATGGTGTTTGAAAAGGTAATGACCAGGTGGGAGCAGACATGTGGATGGAGTTAGCCTGACCTGGTGAAAAATGCCAACGGCCTCACAGGGAGGTGCCCATCTCTGAAACAAGTATCTCTACCACATACACATTCAAGATTTGAAGGGTGGGGGTTACCAGACTCAACAGCGTGGCTTCGGTCAGGCAGAAGTTAGGAACCTGGAACTCTTACTGGGAGGACTGAAGCGCTTGGCCGTCTTAGGCTGTTCCCCCAGGCACTTCAGCTGGGTCAGAAGTGGAACAGCTGGAACTTGAACCTACCCACTAAGGACTCATGCAGGTCACTTTAAGGCAGAGTTAGAGATGGATCTTCCACCCACTGGTTGACTCCTCAAACGGCTGGGCCAGGCTCTCTCCTATAGTAGCCAACCCTGCTCAGATGCTGTAACTGAGGACTCCAAGGCGCTCGGTTTGACAGTGTTGGCAGCGGAGAGCTCACTGAGGCACAGCTGCTGCTATAACTGCAGCTTTGAGGCCATCCAGTCCTCCGTTTTCTTGGCTCCTTAGAGTTTTTCCTTCAAGTACCTCCCGTCTCCCCAGACTCTCAACTGGGAAATTGGAGCCTCTTTCCTACCTGCAATTTGCAACTGCAGAGGAAACTGCAAAGGGCTTTCAGTCTTGTTCCATGAGTTTCCTGTCCTCCGCCCAGTACTACCTCTTGTCTGTTGATACTCCCCTTGGGTGGAGGGATCCCATGTATCTGATTTTTTTTTTCTCTGGTCAAAGAAATTGGTGCTTATTTCCAATTTAGGCTGACATAATGGATGAAAACAGGGCTTTTTGAACTCCCTAATTGGTCCTTACCTTGGCAGGTGCTCAGGTAAATGGTCTGAAGAAATGAGGAAATAGTTTGGGGGTGGGGAAGGTCAAGGGAGCCTCTTAATCGCCCTTCCCTCTGGTTCCGATCCCTCTGTTTTCACTCTGTCCTACAGTGAGTTCAGCTCCGTCAGATTCACGTTCCACTCCAGCCAAGATTACAACCCCCGTTCACCCCCAAGAAACAGAGCACTTGTGCTTGCACTAGTCTTTATTCCTAGGATGGATGGGATGTCCAGAATCACATCCCAGGCCCCTGGTTCCCATGGCAGGGCTCCAGCCCCTCATATCGCTGGAGTAAGCATGTTAGGGAGGCCCGCCGGGCAGGTGGCCAAGGTCCCTCTCCAGGGGATACACCATAAAGATGACCTTGTCCCAGCGAGGGAGGGCGGGGTGGTCTGGTCTGACCAACTCAAAGCCCATGTAGCTGAAGGCCCGCAACAGGGCTCCTGTGAAAGAAGGAAGCAGACTGTTAGACTCTGGGTTGTGTGTGGAGCCCCCCACCCCACCCCCCATACTTGGTTGCTTTAGTAGGGAGAGGCCCCCAGGAAGCTGGGTAGCACAGGCATTAGCATTTGCTCTGGAGTCAACAGACCTGGGCTCTGATCCTCTGTAGAATGTTCTTTGAGTTAACTTGTACTTCAGTTTTCTCATTTGTACAAGTGGGAGTCAAAACCTGCCTCACATAATTTATGATCAAATGAAATGTTTATGAAGTATTTAACCCATGTTGGTGTAGTAAGTTCTGAGATGGTGTCTGTGAAGAACGGCTTGCTCATGTGTTATATCCAGCAAAATGTAAACTTGAGGGAGGAGACCATAGTTTCTACAACATATGTTCCAAGCATCTGGGTTAACATGTTCCTAGCCTCCTGCCTGACACTGTACTACACTGTAGGTGCTTGATGGATTTGACACTCTCTGCCCTGACCACATCCCTTGAAAGGGCTTTGTGCCATTCACCCCGGTCCGCTCTGGCCTGATCCTGCCTGTGGGGACTTCCTGCCAGTCCCAGCGTGACCTGACTGAGGAGGCTGCAAGGTGCCTTGATTTTCTGTAGGGGAGGAGGGAGCGGGATTCCTGCAGAGGGAAGGGAGCTGCCCGCTGCTAAAGCGCAAAGAGTAAGGAAGGCCGGCAGACCACCTCTGTCGTTACGATTGTTGGGGAAGTTCACAAACACGGAGTCCACATTGGTCTTCTCCTCCACGTACTCCAGGGTTGCCGTCAGACTAGGGGCCAGAGAGACAGACACGGTTAATGAAATGTTCGCTCAACTCAGACTCCAGGGCACCCGCCAGAGCAGAAGAAATCTTCCTGGTCAGGTTTTTCTGAAGTCCAAGAATTATACCCCACCAGCTTGTGAGGTTCAAGCCACAGAAGGGGTGGGTCCAAGGAGAAGGCACTACTGTTAAGACAAACAGCTGGACAACACCTCCTGTTATTGAACCATTCCTGAGAGTCCAGCCACGTTCCGTAGGCTATCATCCTCTCAACCCCAGACCCTCGCTCGCAGGCTTGGCCATATGCCAATTCCTGAATCGGCCTCACTCAGGGCAGGGTGAGATCCCACACCTCTTTCTCTCCCACTCTCCCAGCCATGTTCAGCCACCTCTCTCTGTTGCCTTGATCCAAGGCCCGATATGGGATATCCAGGAAGAGTCGATGGTCACAAAGAAGGCCGTGCCAGTGGGCAGAGGTCTGGGGGGTGAGGCGGAAGTGGAAGTCTAATTGTACTGGGTCCTGGTGGAGCAGGGGGTCAGTCGTCAGCACCGTCAGGTTCCCAGCCTGGAAAAGGAGCAGACATGAGAGCAGCAGTCTCCGGCTTCCGTGCCCACCTAGTCCTCAAGTCAGACCTTAGGCAGACTTGACTGTGCCTGAGAAAGAAGAAAGGTGGCAGCCTGGGAGAACTGGAGCCAAGGTTTTAGAAGTGCAACACAATCCCTTAGCCCTAGGAACAGACAGCACCCCTGTCAGGGAGTTCTCCTTAGCTGGAGTTAAGCCTGTTGCTGCCTGCTAACCTCACCCCGGGGCCTCACTAAGCCATTCAGAAACTTACAAACGTTTACATAGGACAGCTTGATTAGACAAAGCTTCATCATGCATTCCCCTTCTCACTGATATTACTCCCACTTTTTCCATCATAGGGCTTTGTCTGAATTCTCCCATTTCTCATTAAAATGCAGAGGTCACAACCAGGGATGTTATCACAATAGGTAACACCAGGGCAGGTACAAGAGTTTTGGGTTCTAGACCCACCATCTCAGACCTAAACACCTTTGTGTCCCAGAAGTCCTGATACAGTCTGTTCCACCTTTGTCACCACTGCCCCCTCCCCAACCCTGCTTTTCATACCAGCTGGAGGACCTGGACTTAAGCTCTCTGGGCGAGAATTGCTGTGAGCTCTGAGCTCCTATCTACCTCTTACTCCCTGGGATTTGTTTTCCAGCTATTCTGTCCTGCAAGGTGCCATAACCAGAAGCAAGGAAGCTGCTCTGTCACACACCAGCTCAGTCTGCTTACTGAGTACAGTTCTTTAAGCTGGTCGTGGTCTTCTCCCTGCTCGGTGCGTCTGCCCCCCTGGAGACCTGCGAGGGACTCAGGAGCACTGGAGGCAGCAACGGGGCCGGAGAGTCAAGTCCTCCTCTTCCTTATAGGTGATGCTGGTTGGGAAAGAGAGACCCAGATGAGTTAATCTCAGAGTCTGAGAGGGACAGAGATGTATCACTTCCTGACACACAGGCCCCGCTCTGGAGCCATCCTCTGTATTTCCTGTTGAGGAGCCTGTTTCCACACCAGTGAGATAGAAAAATCCTCAAGTTCCACTGTCATTCCTTGCCACTTGCAAAGTTCTTTCAAATCCTTTTTTACGTTTTTCCCTACAAGTTTCTATGAGCGAGGAATAATGGGGATGAGGACACGCACCTTTTATAACACCAAGGCAGCATCTTCTCCCGGAGGGTGAGCCGGTATTTGTAACAGTAAAGGTAGTAGGCGTACGGGGACCAGATCGGGTAGAGGTAGTTCCGTGTTCTTCCCCTCTTGATATAAGAGAGGGAGTAGAGAGAGGGGCGGCACCTGTTACAAGGCAGTTTCTCTGTTCAGTGCCTCCCTGCGGCAAAGTGAGGTTCAGGGCTGGGCGTCGGAGGATCAAGCAGCCTGGTGCCTTTGTGACCCGGGAGGGCACTATGACATACACGACGTGTCAGCCCTATGTCACTTCTGCTCCCCTGCCCCGCCCTACCTCTGTAACCAAGGCTCGTGCTCAACCCACACCTTACGAGTGCCTAAAATACTTTCAAACTTCTGTACTATTTGGCAAAGATCCTTGGCTGAACAGTTTTTATGTCTACCTGTCCTGGCCCCTCCTGGGGCACGCCCCCTTCCCTTGAAAATCCAGCCCCTAAAGAGGTGGTGTCTGAGACTGCCAAAGGCTCCCAGGGCCCTGCCCAACACTGACCTGATTAGTTGTTTCTCGTTCCGATCAATTAAATCTTTTTATCATTATTATTATTTTTAAAGATTTATTTGTTTATTTGAAAGTCAGAGTTACACAGAGAGAGGAGAGGCAGAGAGAGAGAGAGGTCTTCGTGTGATGGTTCACTCCCCAGATGGCCACCATGGCCGGAGCTGCACTGATCCAAAGCTAGGAGCCAGGAGCTTCTTCCAGGTCTCCCACGCGGGTGCAGGGGCCCAAAGACTTGGGCCATATCCTACTGCTTTCCCAGGCCATAGCAGAGAGCTGGATGGGAAGAGGAGCAGCCAGGACTAGAACTGGCGCCCATATGGGATGCCGGCACTTTAGGCCATGGCATTAACCCACTGTGCCACTGCACCAGTCCTTCCTTCCTTCCTTCCTTCCTTCCTTCCTTCCTTCCTTCCTTCCTTCCATTCTGATCGCTATGAACTGGAGAATTAAGACAGATCTGGGGGCCGGTGCATGGCGCAGTAGATTAATCCTCCTCCTCTGGCACTGGCATCCCATGGGCGCCAGTTTTAGTCCCGGCTGCTCCTCTTCCAATCCAGCTCTCTGCTATTGCCTGGGAAAGCAGCAGGATATGGCCCAAGTGCTTGGGCCCCTGCACCCATGTGGGAGACTGGGAAGAAGCACCTGGCTCCTGGCTTCGGATCAGCACAGCTCTGGCTGTTGTGGCCATTTGGGGAGTGAACCAACAGAAGAACAACTTTTCTCTCTGTCTCTCCTTCCCACTGTCTCTACCTCTCAAATAAAATCACTTTAAAAAGAGAGAGAGAGAGAGAGAGAGAGAGAGAGAGATCTGTTGGGAGACTATTGAAATTATCCAAGAAACAGAATTCTTTAAGATTTATTTATTTGAAAAGCAGAGTTAGAGAGAAAAAGAGAGAAAGGGTGGGAGAGAGATCGATCCTCCATCTGCTGGTTCACTCCCCAAACGGCCACAACCACCAGGGCTGGGCCAGGCTGAAGCAGGGAACCTATAACTCCATCCATCCAGGTCTCCTAAGTAGCAGGGCCCAAATACTCAGGTCACTTTCCACTGCTTTCCAGCACATCAGCAGGGAGCTGGATCGGAAGTGGAGCAGCAGGGACTTTGAACCGGTGCCCATCTGGGATGCTGGCATGGCAGTTGCTGGCTTAACCTGCTGTGCCACAAGGCCAGCCCTAAGAGATCATTTCTTATTCCAGGGTGGAGCACTGGAGGTAGTGGTAAGTGGTTGGATTCTGCAAATAGTTGAACGGTAGAACCCACAGGACTTCCCAACATGGCATGAGAGAAAGGGAGTTAAGCTGAGTTTAAAAACTGACAGGGCTCAGTCCCGATCCGGCTCTCTGCTGTGGCCTAGGAAGGCAGTAGAGAATGGCCCAAGTCCTTGGGTCCCCGGGCCTGCATGGGAGACCCAGAGGAAGCTCCTGACTCCTGGCTTCGGATCAGCACAGCTTCCGTCCGTTGCAGCCATCTGGGTGGGGAGTGAACCAGTGATGGAAGACCTCTCTGTCTTTGCCTCTGTAATTCTGCCTTTCAAATAAGTAATCTTTAAAATATAAAAGAAGCACTGACAGGACGGAGTTCCCACTGAGCCGGGAAAGGTTGTAGGTGGGGCAGTCTCGAGGGCCAGAGCTCAGTTTAGCTTGAGACTTGTTAACCTTGAGATCGCCATTAAACATAGGAGTACAAGGGGAAGACGGCCAGCAATTGATGTTCGAGTCTGGAGCTTGCTAGACGTCTAGCGTAGAGCTAGACACTGTCAAGTAAGTCATTGGCATAAAAGCAGTAGGGAAAGCTCTGAGACTAGAGGAATCCTCAAGACTGAGTGTTAAGGTCCAAAGACGGAGTCTCCGGGGCACTCTGGGGAGCCGAGAGGGGAATCCGCACAGCGGACTGCAGAGGGCTGGTGAGGGAGGGAAGCGAAGCCGGGCAGTCTGGATGAGGGCCCACAGCGACGACGCACCGAGCGTCTGGCCATAGTCCCCTCCGGCAAGCAGACCCGCCCGAACCCCATCCCACCCCCTGCAGCACGGAGACCCTCCAGGAGTCCGGGCCCTGCCGTGGGCTGTATACTCTGACTGGGGGCTCTCCACGGTGGCCTAAGTACTGCCGTGTGTCGGTTAAGCGTTCGCTCCTGGGGTGGGCGGAGTTCTCCAGAGGACCCCATCCCTGTCAGGCAGACCCGAAGGGAAGCTGAGCGGCGCATCCTTCCTCCCTCAGTGTCCAGTTACGCCGGCATGTCACAATTAGAAGCGACCTCAGACAGCAACCAGAACTAAACGGAAGCCTCATTTTGTTTTATTTTATTTAAAGGGTAGTCAAGTCTTTTCCGGTGTCGGTCCACCTCAAGTTCACCAGTTATCTGTTAATAATCACGGGCGTCCCTGCCAACGGAGAGGAGTGAGCAACTGCTCTCTTTCTCCTCCCGCCCGGATCGGCGGCCTCGCGGTGCAGCCGACCCCGCTTCCCCTCCGCCCTGCCGGGCCCCAGGCCGCGCGGGCTCAGGCGCGCCGCGGGCAGCCCCGGCAGGGTCCTTCTGGCCGCCGGGCGCCGGGGTCCTGCCGCAGGTCGCCCGCGGTGCCGGGGAGCATGGCGGCGGCCACGGTCGCGGGCCCCGGCAGGGCTCTGCTGCGGGCAGGCGGCGAGCGGCTGCTGGGGAGAGGCGTGCAGGAGCTGCTCCGGCCGCCGCTTGAGAGGGCCCCTTGCGGCCCGAAGCGCGACTTCAGCCTTTCTCACAGTCGGGTGAGGGTCCAGGTTCCGGGGGTCATGACCGTCCTGGGGGGTCATTCTGTGCACCCGAGTGTGCGGGCGGCAGGGGCGGGCGTGTTCTGCGCCGCGGCGCTCACCATCGCCTCCCCGGCCGCCAGGGCACTGTCATCGTGGAGCGCTGGTGGAAGGTGCCGCTGGCCGGCGAAGGCCGGAAGCCGCGCCTGCACCGGCGGCACCGTGTCTACAAGCTGGTGGAGGACACGAAGCACCGGCCCAAGGAGGACCTGGAGCTCATCCTCACGCAGTCTGTGGAGGGTAAGGCCCCGCGCCGAGGTTCTTCCTCGCCACGCCGTCCTGGTGGGCGTCGGCTCTTTCCTGCCGTGTGTGTTGAAATAAACGGCTCAATACGGGGGCGGGGGGGGGGGCAGGGCAGTGATTGTAACTTTGGCCTCGGGCGTGGAGAATTAACAACACTACTGCAGCAGAACGGTGCACAGTGTGGGGAGAGAGGCCGGAGAGTTTGTTCCACAAACAGAGCTTGCGTGAGGGGACAGCGCCTCCCCCACCACCACCGGGAACACTCAGTGTCTACCTGAGGCCCTGAAGAAGCTAATTAGCAGGGACTTAAACGTTGTTGCTAATGAATATGAATTCACATCGCCATCGCAAAGGAGAAGCACTCTTGGGAAATAAGAGGTGAGAGTCTCTGATCTTTTCTTTAGGGATCCCTAGGTAGTTCTGACCCTGTGCCTCTCTCCTCACTGGCAGACCTTGGAGTCCGGGGCGATCTGATCTCCGTGAAGAAATCTGTGGGCCGCAACCGACTCCTCCCTCAGGGACTGGCTGTGTATGCCTCTCCTGAAAACAAGAAACTGTTTGAAGGGGAGAAATTGGTGAGCTCACATGGAGGGCAGCAGAACTGGAGGCATAAAACTCGCAGGCTTTCTCTAGCAACTTCCTTCCCTTTGAAAGTTCATCTGAAAGTGAAGTGGTGGGGGCTAGAAGCAGGAATGCAGTGTGGTAAGAGTTTGATATTATGTAACATGGGTCTGTTTCCTTTTTACTTATTTTCATCTTTTGCTTTTCTAGCTAAGACAGGAAGGAAAATTAGAGAAGATCCAGACCAAGGCAGGTGAGGCGGTAAGTAGAAACCTCACAAGTTTGATCACTTACAAGAGACAGCAGCCTCTTCTGATTGCAGTGGGGTGGGGGTGGGGGGGTGTTCTAGCTGCCTCCACAAAACTGGTGTGGAAGTCCCTTGATAGATCCTTGCCTGTTGGGTAAAGTGCCCAACTTACGGGCAGAGACCCCAGTATGGGCATCGGGGAGCTATGGGAAAGTATAGGATGAGGGTTCTGTTTTAGGAATATGTACAGATAAGTTGGAGAGACCACAGGCCCATGAGAAGGTAATCAGTAAACCCAAGGCAGTAAATTATAAATGCCATGGACCCATAATGGGTTTGGGGGTGACTGGGGAGATTGTGTTTGCAGGTGAATTGAATTGGACCCTTTGAGATTAGTAGGCTCTGGGTAAGCCAGGAGAGTAGAAGGCATGTCCTTGGGGAAGTAAAAGGATAAGTAGAAATTTTAAGCATACTTCAATGTAGAAAATGGAGGAGTCCCGCTAAAGCAGAGAATTTTGTATAGTATATTAGGATGCTTTTGGCTGGAAAGGAGATTGGGACAAGATTTGTAAAACATCTTGAATCTAACTAGTGAATTTCTGTTTTACTGTGGAAACTGGGAAGAACTATTAATGGGGTATAGGTGAGATTGAAGGGCAAAAAGTATTGCGTTAAATAAAGCAGTCTGTGGAAGCTATTCCATCCTGAGATGGTGCTAGTGGCCTCTGTTGGTATATTGTGACGTTGATGTGGCTTGTTTCTCCTAGCTTAGGCACAGGAATGTATAGGGGAATCCCCCTACAAAGTATTGGTAAAATGTCTTCCTACAATATGATAATATGCTGAAATCCATGTATATGAGGAGTCTTCAGAAAATTCATGAAAAAATACAAAGAAGTATGCATGGATTTGAAAATTCTCTTGTACCAAAATGAACTCTTTTAATTCCATTTTCCCATGACCTTTGTGAAGTACCCTCTTCCTGGGCGTGGGGCCATACGAGTTGTTCTGTCTTCGGTTCCTTTTCCTGCCTGTCTTATCTGTGAAGCAGAAGCTACGCCTGTTGCCTGAACTCAGGTCTTGTGACTCTTGCTCCTGCGTTTCCTCTCTTTGGACTCCAGTGCTCACCCAGCCACTATTTATAACTCCTTTCAGACAGTGAAGTTCCTGAGGAGCTGTCACCTGGAGGTGGGGATGAAGAACAACGTCAAATGGGAGCTGAACTCGGAAATAGTTGCCCGCCACTTCCTGAAGAACGTGAGTGTCCCTCAGCACTGCGCACCTGGCGCGTGGCAGAGACCAGGAGTGAGCGCTGGAGTGGCAGCCTGGAAGACAGAGTTCTTTGTCATTTTTGTTTTGAATAGCTTGGTGTTGTGGTCGCCCCACATGCAGTAAAGTTACCCGAAGAACCTATCACACGGTGGGGCGAGTACTGGTGTGAGGTGACGGTGAGTATTTCATTACTTTCTCCTTTTTTCTAACCAGGAGAAAAAAGAGGTTGAAAAACTGGATTTGGGTGCTATTGGCTTTTAACTGCCTGACTGATCTCTGAGAATTCCTATTGGTGTGTGTGTTTAGGTAAATGGGCTTGACACTGTGAGAGTGCCTATGTCTGTGGTGAACTTTGAGAAGCCCAAGACCAAAAGATACAAGTACTGGTTAGCCCAGCAAGCTGCCAAGAGCCTGGCCCCCACCAGCAACCAGATGTGAACCTGTTCTTCCTCCAAGGCAACAAGGCCAAATCTGAGGAGCAGTGCAACAAAAATGGGCGAGCACCCTGATCTCACTCTGACCAGATGTGGAATTCAAGGGAAAATACGAGACAGCAGACTCAACCACGTGCACAGAGTGAGTGCTCCGTACTTGCCGTTGCTGGAGGTGGGTGTTAGTCCGCTGCATGGAGCAGCGCAGATCCTGTTCTTCCTCCTTTGGAGCTTACTGGAACAAATGGAAGAGTTAGCCGTTGTAACTGCTACTTGGCTCAGTTATCGTCATCCAAATGAGGATTTGTACCTCAGGCAGAAATAAAGAGTTGTGTTCTTTTTAGTTGTTGATTACTGGGCTTTAGTAGACGAGGGACAGGATTTCCAGGGATATCCTCTTGAACCACTGAGGTTTGCTGTTAAAAAGGAAAAAGACATTAGCAGACTACATCCCATAGTTGCTATGAGCAAATTACTGTGACTAAGCTAATACATCACTGCTCTTAAACTTATTCTCACTAGATGCTGATACAGTCATCAGCTTCAGTAAGTACAGGGATTCATCCTCTCTGAAGAGAACTAAGCAAAGGCTGAGGGTAATTGATGGGACAATGAAGCTGGATGGAAAAGCTTAAGAAGGAGACACTGCATCATTTCTTGAATCAACTCCAGAAATTCTGGAAAAGATACTTTGATTTCCAGACCAAGGTTAAGATAAGGGAAGTCATTAGGTCGTTCTGGAGTGGATGTCTGGGAACTGAGGGAAGGACATAATTCTGTGTGTGTTTAGGGTCCATTGGCAGAAAAAAGAACATCCATTGGCAGGTGAATTGTGCCAGGTCTCTCAGGGTGAGGTCCTGGAATTTAGAGAGGTAGAGATGGAACCGTGGACTCCTTTCCTGCCCTTCCAGGAGCTCAGAGGTTGGCTCCTCATTCTGCTACTCTGAGCAGGTAAGCATTGTTGGCTCTGGTGTTCTCCTAGTTTACATCTACAGCCACATGGGTCATGATCAGGTGACAGAAGAGGAAAAAGGCTGAATTTGGTCAGGATTGCCTCTGGATCTCTTTGGCCCTTACAGTGTTAAGCAGGATTTCATTGCAGTGGATCAAAATTGGGTGAGCCATTGGTGGCACTGCCTGAGGCTCTACAGGCAGGAACGGCAAATCCATACCCATAATAACCATGAGTTCCCAGTCAGGGTGAGCACGGATACAGTGTATTCATTCATCTCACTACCGGGTGACTGGGTGGTGCCCTTTGCTCTGTCATGGCCGCTGCACTCGTGTGCTCGTTTTACAGCGTTAGGTGCCAACAGCAAAGGCTAGCTATTGGGTGAGGCAGTCGGTCCACTTTTTATTTATGTATTTATTTATTTATTTTAGGATTTATTTACTTATTTGAAAGAGTTACAGAAAGGCAGAGAGAGAGGTCTTCCATCTGCTGGTTCACTCCCCAAATAGCCACAGCAGCTGGAGCTGAGCCCATTCAAAACCAGGAGCTTCTTCCAGGTCTCCCAGGCAGGTGCAGGGGCCCAAGGACTTGGGCCATCTTCCACTGCTTTCCCAGGCCACAGCAGAGAGCTGGATCTTCCTAATGGTCAGAGCTTCAAGGCAGCACATCTGTCTGCATGGGCAGCAGTGAGTGACTTGGTCAGGAACCTGGAAAAAAACTAAGACTAAAAACAAAAAAGTCTGGGGGAAAAGGCACGTGGGATACCTGAGAATAAGTATAAAATGTGATGGCCTTTTTGCCTTACGTGTTAGTGCCCATCAAAGAAGAGCCAGGAGCAGCCGAGACTCAAACCAGCGCCTATATGGGATGGCAGCACTGCAGGCAGCAGCTTTCCTCACTATGCCACAGCGGCAGCCCCTCAGTTAGCTTCGTTGTTTGGTACCTTTCCTATGGTAGATGTTCGCTGACGTAAGGCAAAAAGACCATCACACGTTGTACTCATCCTCTGGTACCCTACATACCTTTTCCCCCAGACTTTGTCTTTAGTCTTAGAGATTTTTCCAGATTCCTGACCAAGTCATTCACTGTTGCTCAGGAAGACAGATGCATTGCCTGAAGCTCTGACCTTCACTGTTGTTTTTCAAGGCATCTTCAGTTGGTACCACAGAACAGCCAGTCTGTTTTCAGCTGTTTCCACCTAGTGAGAGAACCCATACATTAGGCAGCCTCAGCTGTTTACTGCTGCTGTCTGGTCTCGAAGGCCCCCTGATCCACGTGGCTGTAGATGTTAATGGAGAGAGAAACACAAGTGCAACAGGGTGGGGACAGGGTCTGGTCACTTTACGCGGCTTGCTTTTTCTTTCCAGCTCTGTTTGTGTCCAATGCTGTATATAACCTGTCCAATTCTATATATATAGCCACTTCCATCTTGACTGATGAAAGGTACTCAGTGTTACCACTTGGGTCTGATAGAACCCAGGTTGAAATAGGTGTTTCTTGCTACATGATCGCTTGATGACCCATGGAAAAGCACCATATCTCAACCAGGACTCAGTAGCACACTTGGAGTATCTTTTGAAAAGTGTGCAATACTGTTTCAGATGGCTTGGCCTTGCTCCAGAACTGTAGTTTGTGACTTCCTATTGGGGCGTGTGGTCCTCTCCCACCACTGATGCTTCTAATATGGTGTCTTGTGGACCCAACAGCAGGGTCACTTCTGCCACAGACCCTTTTCCTGCTCTGGGAAAAGCCACCAGGTGGTTGGGTCAGAGACATTTGCAAGTGTGGAATATGCTATCTGTACACCCACCAAGGTTTATCAGGCAGTGTGCTCCCTCCCTAGCAGTGAGAGATGGGAGATGCAGAATTTCTTTAGTTTGCAGTCTGTCCTGGCAGGGCTCCAGACCACTGGCATTCTAAAAACTTCCCTGATACGGAAGGATTCTAAATACCTGTAGGATTTGTGTGCTACCATTTGGAGAATATTTGTCCTGCCGAGGCCTCTAGTGTACCTGCCATTTCTTGCTCATCCCATGACCATGATGTCATCAGTGTAGTAATATGATGTCCTACAGAATGTCCAGATGGTCTAGGTCTCCTCAGACTACATCATGACAGAAAGCGGGAGAGTTTACATGGCCCCCAGGCAGCCATAAATGTATATTATTGCTCATCTCAATGGTGAAAGCTTACCTTCTTTTTTGAAGGGGTGGGAAAGCATACATTGCCCAGATCAATACATACCATGTTTCTGAGCCCGTGTTAATCAGTAGTGCAGTTTTTTTTGTTTTTTTTTTTTGTTTGTTTTTTTGTTTTTTTTTTTTTTGATGGATATAACACTAATCCACTGTCATTCTCCAGGATTGTCTAGGGGACAAAGGTGAATTAAATAGCCATGTGATGGGGACCACATCCCTGCATTCAAGTCTATAAAAGGAATACTCTTGTTATTGTTGTTGTTGTTGTTATTGGCCTGGAATGATAGAGGCAGTTTTAGGGGCTTCATGTCAGCCTTCCACACGTAGCTCCTGCCTCTCAAACCAAAAAGCAGTGTGCTAGTTCTACCCTCAGATATGTCCATTCCACTTATCCAGTGAGAAACAGTAAAAGAAGCACGAGGTCGGTCTGTGGACCCCGCAGATCCACTGAGGGCCAGACCTGGCCCCCTTACACTGTGGTTCTAACAGGCCCATGGTGATTGTTCAGATCCTGGAGTAACCATGTCAAGTAGGCCTCTGTATCTGCCAGTTAATGAAATGTTTAAATAGCCTTTCTCCATTGTGTGCTGTCCATCTTTATGTGATTGGGGGAATTGTTGCCTTAAATGGTACAGTGTTTCAGGGTCCTTACTCCCAAAGGGTATTGAAACAATTGTTTCCAGCTGAAACACTTCACTTCCACCCAGGAAGAACATAACTACAGAAATTTGGGTCTCACTATGAACCATAAACCAGACAGAATTATGAAAGGAGTGTTTATAGATAATGAAGAGCAGGTAGTGTAGAACTTTGAGAAAAAGGAAGCAAAAGCCCTGTGACTGGCTCCGCTTACTGCCCGGAGGTCATTTCCGCCCTGGCCTGGCCTGTTATGGAGCAGTGCGGAGAGGGGAGCGCTGAGCCGGCTGTCGCTTCTCCACTGGGTGAGCAGACAGAGACTACAGCGGGCGGAGCGTGGACAGGCTGGAAGCAGAAGGCAGAGCACTTACGATGAGTGAATGACAGAACAGTGTAGGTCTGTAGGGGGACCTCATATCTGGCTGAATACTGACGTGCACGTGCGTGTGCATGGGGTGAAATTCCACAAAGCTGTGGGTAAAAGAGATAGGAAAAGTGCTAAGCCCATCAATTCTCAGCTCATACAAGATTGTGCGTTCTGCCAACCGTATAAGTAGAACTTACAATATAAGGCATCAGGTAGAGACTAAAGAACTCACTTGTGGACACTACAATAAAGGCTAGGTTGGATTCACCTTGCAGTTTTTTGAGAGCAAGCCTTGGAGGGATCAAGCTTATACCAAGCATGCTAGAACCAAGTCCAGTGCTCATTAAAGAAAAGCAACAAAATCCTACAGTGAATAAAATCAAATTCCTAATGTCTGACATCCAATTAAATATTAGAATAGGGACCTGGAATTTGGTGCAGTGGTTAAGACAGAACTTGGGGGCATAACAGTTATGTCACCACCTGAAACACCAGTGTCTCATATGGGCACTGGTTCAAGTCCTGGCTGCTCCACTTCTGATCCAGCTCCATTAATGCACCTGAGAAAGCAGTGGAGGATGGATGACCCAAGTCCTTGGACCCCTGCACCCATGTGGGAGACCAGGATGAAGTTCCTCCTGACTTAGCCTGGCCCAGCCCTCACTGTTGTGGCCATTTGGGGGAAGATCTCTCTTTCCCTGTCTCTGTAACTATACCTTTTATACACATTTTTTTAAAACCACTTGGGTCATCCACATTCCATATCAGAGTAGGTTCCAGTCCCAGCTCCAGTTCTAATTCCAGATCCTGTTAATGTATCCTGAGAGGCAGCAAGTGGTGGCTCGAGTACTTGGGTTCCTGCCACCCATGTGAGAGATGTGGATTGAATTCTTAGCTCCTGGCTTCAGCCTGACCTAGCCTCAGCTGTTGCAGGCACTGGGGAGTGAGCCAGCAGAGGATGATATCTTAAAAAAAAAAAAAAAAAAAGATTTGTTTCTTTATTTGAAAGAGTTACACAAAGAGGAGTAGAGGGCTTCCATCTGCTGGTCCATTCCACAACTGGCCACAATGGCCGGAGCTGTGCCAATCCGAAGCCAGGATCCAGGAGCCTCGTCTGGGTCTCCCACACAGGTGCAGGGGCCCAAGGAACTGGACCAGAAAGATATCTTTTTCTGTCTCTGTTTCTCTCC